GCGGGGGGAGGCGGGGGGCTGGGGGTGCCCCCTTTGCCCGGGGGGGGCTGGCAGGGGGACAGCCGGCGGGGCGCAGGGGACCCATGGCACAGTATTTACAGGGGGTCCCGCTGGGCGCGCACACACACACACACACACACACGCTGACACCCATACACACGCACACCAAGGACTTGGCACCCACACGACGGGCACAGGCGAACCGGGAGCACGCCAGTTCGCAGGGAGGTGGGCAAAGGCTACGGGTGAAAGGAGCTGGCCGGTTCCCTGCCCGGCCGGAGCTGGGCACCCACCTGCCCCATTTGGCACACACAGCGGTGGCGAAGCGGGCGGGCACGGAGAGGGGAGGTGGGGGCTGCCTTCATCTTAGCCGGAGAGTTCGTAGAGGATCGGGGAAGGGGGAAAACGCCGGGGAGAGGTGCTGAGCCGTGCCGCGTGCCCAGCGCCAGCTCCGTGCCGGAGGCTGGGCTGGGACGGCGACACCACGGCCGTGCCCGCTCCGCGCCCGACGGGCGAGATCGGCACCGGGCGTCCTCCAACGACAAAAAGGAGCGGGGGCACGCGGGAACCCAACCCAATAAATTAGAGGTGGGGTGGGAGCGGGGGGCGGAGGGCGCGCGGGCGCGGGGTCAGAGCCCGTTGGCGGAGCGCTGGATGAACGGCACTTTGCTGAGCTCCACCACGGGCGAGCGGGGCTTGTTCTGCATGCGCGGCACCCGCTGCAGCAGCTGCTGGGCCTGGCGCTGGGCGTCCCGCAGCTCCTTCCGCCACTGCACCAGCTCGGGGTCGCTCTGTGCAGGGCAGGGGCGGAGGGCGCGCGGGCGCGGGGTCAGAGCCCGTTGGCGGAGCGCTGGATGAACGGCACTTTGCTGAGCTCCACCACGGGCGAGCGGGGCTTGTTCTGCATGCGCGGCACCCGCTGCAGCAGCTGCTGGGCCTGGCGCTGGGCGTCCCGCAGCTCCTTCCGCCACTGCACCAGCTCGGGGTCGCTCTGTGCAGGGCAGGGCACGGGTCAGGTCGGGCCTCCCCGGGGTACCAGGGTGGGGTACGGGGTGGTCTGGGGCTCCCCTGGGTGCCAGGGCTTTGGGGTTGCCCCAAGCTTTCTGTATTCGTGCCCTGTTGATGGCTTGGAGGGCTAAATGTGCAGGGCTAGTGGCCAGCGAGAGGTGGCAGGAGGAGGTGGTTAATGGCCAGCAGGCAATGGTTTGGCCTGGAGGTGGCTAACAGACAGCAGAGGGGATGGCTAGCAGCTAGCAGGAGGTGGCTAGCGCCCAGCAAAGTTTGGTTAGTGCCCAGCGGGAGCAACCGGGACCCAGGGGAGATGGCCAGCGAGGGGCAGGAGGTGGCTAGCGCCTGGCAGGGGTGGCCGGTGACCCCAGGGGACGGCGGCCAGCCCCAGCGGGTGACCCGGGACACACTCACATCGCACTGCAGCACGAACTGCTTGCCGCCGCGGATGCGGAGCAGGATGCACTTGCGCTCCTTCACCTGCGTCTCCTCCACCGAGTCGATCTCCTCCATGGTGAGCAGGGACTGCTGGGGGGACAGGCTGAGCCCGGCCCTCGCCCCCGGCCCCCCGTGTCCTCGCGGAGGTCCCCCCCAAACCACCGCTGCCCAGCACACCCTGATGTCTGCCAGCGTCGACGCTTGCCTGCTGAGCACCGTGCTGGCCCCGCACCACCCCGTGCCCCCCGCGCCCGCCTTACCGGCGACTCGCCCTCCCCGCGCCACTCGAGGCGGTTGGGGAAGAGGTAGAAGTAGCGGCGCTGCCACTGCGTCAGGAAGGGGTTGCCCAGCTTGGCCATGTACCCGTGCATGATGCAGTCCTTGCCCATGGCGTACTCTGTGCCCGCCGCGCCGGGGAGAGGCAGGGTCAGCCCAGGGCACGGGTGGAGCTGGGGGGCTGTCGGGGGGAGCCTAGGGGCCACCCGGCCCCACTCACCCTCCTCGTGGCCCAGCTGCTTGTTCTTGGCTTTCTTGCGAGCCTCCAGCTTGTCGGTGTCGGCGTTGACGGCTTCGAAAACGGTCTCCGTCACCTCCTGCTGCCACCGCTCCGAGATGGTGAGCGGGAAGTTGCGGTACAGCTCCTGGTCGCTCTCCAGCAGCTGGCGGGCAGGGAGGCAGGCAGGCATGGCAGGGGCCGGGGGTTGCCGGCCGCCCCAGGGGCTGCCTGCCGCCTCAGCCCCGCCACGCTCAGCCCCTCCACCCCGCTACCTTGATGCCCTTCGTGTCCTCCTCATCGAAGGAGCCGATGTCGAAAGCGTCAGCCGCATTCACCTCGCCGCGGGGTGGGATCAGGGGCGGCGGGTACTGCAGGCAGGAAAGGGGTTTTAGAGGGACGGCTGCCCGTGTCCCTGTACCCCTTCCCGTGCCCGGGCGTCGTGCCCCTCACCTTCTGGAGGAAAACCATCTGCCAGTCCAGGCCCTTGAAGAAGGGCTCCTCCTTCACCTCCTGAGCCCTGGGGAGCAACAGGGGTGAGTGCTGCAGGCTCCCGGCTGCAGCCCTGGGGCTGGGGTGCTGCACCAGCACACCCTCCTTCCCTGTCTGCCTTCTGCCCCGGCCCCGGGCACCGCCCCGGCGCCCGGCGTGCCCGCCGGGACTCACCCGCGCCCCATGCAGCCCAGCCGCCGGTTGACGTCTCGCTGCAGCAGCCCCTCGAGCAGGGAGCGCAGTTCAGGGGAGAAGGAGTCCGGCAGCTCGACGGCCTGCGGGAGAGCACGGTCGCTCACGGCGTGAGCACACAAGCACCAAGGCACACGTGTGCACGGGGACAGGGATGCACACAGATATGCAGACGTGCACAGGACAGACACTGACACACACAGGGAGGTGTGCGCACCCGCAGATGTGCATACGCTTACACGTGCCCGTGCACCAGAGCACACGCACATGCAGGCACGCACACCTGCGACGTGCATGTGCACGCCCAGTCCCATGCAAGCCCGTACGCGCGGCCCCGCGTGCCCCCCAGGCCTCCACCAGCCCACGGCGGGGGTCACAGCGGCACAGGGGTGCTCACGCCCTGGCCACCCCTGCCTCGGCCCTCCCTGGCACAGGGGGCAAACGCCATGGTGCCCCAACTCACCATGGTGAGGGTCATACGGTCGATCTCGTGCTTGTCCTTCGTCTTGTGCTGCCGGAAGGGGCTGTGCCTGCGACCGGGAGGGGGAAGGGGAACTCAGAGGTGCCCACCCGTGCCCACCCGTGCCCACCCGCGCCCGCACACTCACCCCCGGAGCAGCTTGAAGAGCATGCAGCCCAGCGAGAACCAGTCGGCGCTGCTGTCGTACGCCACTCCTTTCTGCAGCACCTCCGGAGCCATGTACCCATGGGTGCCCCTGCGGGGGCAGAGAGCAGGGTCAGGGGCCGTGCCAGGCAGGCGGGCAGGGCAGGCAGCGGCAGGGGCACACTCACACACTGGCATGGGGCTTCTTCTTGGAGAAGTCGCAGGCCAGGCCCAGGTCTGAGATGCGGACGTGCCCAAATTCGTCCAGGAGGATGTTTGCCGGCTGCCAAGACACCGTGCCACCCATGAGCCCGAGCGCTGCCCGTGGGCACGGGGTGGGCAGCGAGGCAGGGGGTGCCCACATGGGTCAGGCTGGGGTGCTCTGTGGGATCTGGGGGTGTCCCTGGGACTGGGAAGCACTGGTGGAGTCTGTGAGTGCCCCCTGAAGGCCTCAGGATGCCTGCGGGGTCCCAAGGGTGCCTATGGAGTCTGGGGGGTTCCTGCAGGGTTGGGGGTACCCATGGGACCTGGGGGTGCGCTCTGGGTTTTGGGGAGTGCCCACGGGGCCCTGAGGGCTCCTGTAGGGTCTGTGGGTGCCTGTGATACCTGGGGGTGCCCACAGGGTCCTGGGGAGGGGGTTCTACAGCGCCCGGGGATGCCAGTAGGGTCTTGGACACCTGCAGGGTCCGAGGGTGCCCGAGGTGTCTGTGGGGTCGGTCACCTTGAGGTCGCGGTACACCACGAAGCGGCTGTGCATGTGCTCCAGGCCCAGGATGATCTCAGCTGCGTAGAACCGCATCTCCGCCTCCGAGAAGACGCCGTGCTGGGACAGGTGATAATGCAGGTCTCCCCCTGCGGTGACAGGGACCAGTTGTCACACTGGCACCGCCCTCCACGCCCCAGAGACGGTGTGGGCAGGGGGCTTCGAGCCCGTGGCTCAGGCCAGCCGTGGCCCTGGGGCCAGGGATCGGCCACGGGGTCCCTCGGGGCCAGGGGCCGCTCACCGTTCATGAGGTCGAGGATGAAGCTGAGCTTGTCAGGTGTGTGGAAGGCGTACGACATGCACACGATGAATGGGCAGTCCTGGCAGGAGAGACAAAGTCACGCAGTGCCCTGGGGACACCCTCCCTCACCGTCCCTTCTCCCCTCGCCAGTGCCACAGCCTGCGACCGGTGTGTCCCCTCACCCCGGTGCTGACGAGGGACAGCATGATGCGCTCGTTGAGGGCCAGGGTCTCGCCCTGCTTCATCTTGATGCGTTTCTTGTCCAAACACTTCATGGCGTACCTGGGGGCAAAGAGTCCCTGCAGGGTCCTGCCGCAGCCCGCCTCTGCCTGTGGCCACGGTGCCACGTCCCTCCAGTGACACCGCCGCGGCCCTGCCCTGCCCGCGGCCCCCCAAACCGCAGCCACGCCATTGCGTCCCTCCACTGCCAGCACCCGCGGCCACATCACCGCATCCAGCTACCACCCACGGCCATGACGTCCCTGTATCCCCCAGAGACCTGTAGCCATGGCGATACTTCCGCAACCCCCCCAACATCTGTCGTCATGGCAACACCGCCGCAGATGCCCTTGGGACCACCACCACAGCCCCAGCGCCCCCCCCGTCGCAGGCAGATCCCTCTGGCCCTCCGCGACGGAGCATCCCCCATTACATTTTGCCTGTATCCGCTTTCCGACAGCCGTAGACCTCCCCGAAACCACCGCGGCCGATGATTCGGTGAACGCTGAAGTCGTTCATGGTGAGCTGGAGGGGGCGAGAAGGAGGTGGGGGTGAGCCTGGACACCTGGGTCCTGCAGCACCTGCCCTGCACCAAGAGCTGCGTGTGTCCGTGGTGGCGCGGGGTCCCGCGCTCTGCCTCAGTTTCCCCGGGCAAGGAACACGGAGGCTGCTCTGCGTGTCCCCGTGAGCGTGGGCCAGTGTGGAAGAGCCACCTGTGAGTGAGTGAAAGCCTGGGGGGGTGTGCGAGGGTGCCCCTCCGGGGTGCTTGTCCGAGGGTACCCGTGCCAGCCCTAGTGAGCCCCGGGGCAGCAGCCTTGTCACTGTGCCCACGTCCCCCTCCCTGGAAGCGCCCAGAGGTGCCCCGAGGCGCAGGGGTCCCTGCTCACATGGATGTTCAGCTCCACGTTCTTCCACTGGCAGAACCGGGTGAATTTGTCACTGCAATGAAGCACAGAGAGGGCAAGAGTGGAGCCCCTGGAGAAACGCCCCCCAGGACCCATCTCGGGGCAGAAGGACCCCTTGGACTTGTCTGGAGACAGGCAGCACCCCCCGGGGCCCCCATCTGGGAACAGAGAGAGCCTGGGGATGAGAAGAGTCCCCTGAGGTCTGGGGACAGACACCCCTGGAGCTCCTACCTAAGAAGGGACCCCTGGCCCCTCTCTGGGCCGGGAGACCCTGGTCCCCAGTGGGATGGGACACCCCGATCCGTGTGGGACTTTCCCCCATCTCACCTCTCGATGAATTTCTGGAAGATGCCCCCACGCAGGTTCTGGCAGATCTCCTCAATGTAGGGCTGGGGGGGACGACACAGGGCTCAGCGCTGGGTCCCCAGTGCCACCCAGGTCACCCCTACCCCTCAGGCCCCGTCATTATGTGAGGTCTCCTCCAGCCCCGGGATTTCACATACCCCCGCTGCCACCCTGCCACTGCCAGGCCCCTGGGGATGCTGCTGCCACCCAGCGTCACCTGAGTCTCTGGGGACCCCGACGTCACCACCTCTGGGGACCCCGCTGTCGTCCTGGGTCACCTGTCTGTCCCCAGTCACCACCCTCTGAGGAGCCCCCGTTACCTCCAACCCCCAGTCTCTTGACCACCACCCCCCGGGGACCACCCGCAATCCCCCTCACCCCAGGTGCCCCTGTCACCACCAGCCCCCAGCACCCTTTCACCAGCCCACCATAAGGATTAACCCTCCGAGTACCAGAGGTGGCAGGGACCCCCTCTCTGTCCCGGGCGATGCCCACCTGGAAGAGGTCTGGGGGCACCTGCTTCTTGCTCAGGCGGCTCTGGACATGCTCCGTGGCACTCTTGGAGAAGGGCTGTGAGGCAAGACGGGACCGTGTCACCCCGGGCAGAAGGGATGGGGACACAGGGGCACAACGCAGGGGTGCACAAGCGGGGGAACTCATGGAGGAACCCCCATCCACAGGGGGCCTGTGGCTCCCAGAACAGTCAGTGGTGGTTTTGGAGCTCCCTCTGAAGACACTGGGTACCTGGGCACACCCCTCCCACCCGCTCTGGGGACCCCACCCCGGTACCTCACCCCACTGGAGTGCCGGCACGGTGCCTGCACAGCATGGCACTCACGTGGGAGCAGGCCAGCAGCTCCTTCATGATGTAATGGTCAAAGATGTGGCGGCTCCGGACGGTTCGCTCCTCCTCCGAGTCCAGCTTCTCGTACTTCTTGATCTGGCAAGGGCACAGCTCCCGTGGCACAGGGGCACACCGCTCCCAGGCCCGTGCTGCCGCGGGGCACAGCGCTCACCCCACGCCGGGAACCAGGGCTCCGGCCCCTCTGGGACCACATCCCGTGGGCACGGGACGGTTATCGCGTCCCCTGGGTGCCCAGGGCATCACCTCCCGGCCCCCTGGGGCACTCCGCATGCTCTTGGCACCGGGTCTGTGGGCCCCGCAGGTACCAAATCCCACCCCCAACCCTCCTCATGACCACGGGGGTCCGTCCAGACGGGACCCCCATCTCACCTCCTCATAAAACTCCATCAGGGGTTTGGCCTCCTCTGCCTGGTTAAAGGCGAAGTCGCGGAAGAGCAGGTACCCTGGCAGGGACAGAGCCGTGGCGTGAGAGCTGCCTGCCCCATCGCCCAGGCCAAGGGGCACGGGTGCGTCCCCTGGGCCTGCCGGTCACAGCCACCCCCACGCCGGGCTCGGGGAAGGGGAAGTGCCACGCTGGGGACTGGCTGGGGTTCGGGCAGGGCGATGCGGCGAGGCGCGGACACCGGCGGGCACAGGGAGGAGCAGCGCAGGGCTATAGGGCGCTATGGGGCAGGGCTGCGGTGGGGTAGCGAGGAGGTCAGTGCGGCGGGGAACGCGATGGGGCAGGGGGGGGGGCGGGGGGGGGGGGGGG